CCAGCTCGGCTTGGAGGACGGAGCAGTCAACGATGTCCCTAAGGACTTCATCCTTTTGCTCACAAAGAGCTTTATACATCTCCTTTTTGCCGGACCTGTTGCTTGAGCTCGAACTCGAGGTGACTCACCTCCATCCTGGACCGGTGAAAGCTTTCATGATGAAGCATCAAGGCCTGAGACATAAAGAAAGAGAAATCGTTAAAATATCGTTAAGGTAAATAGAACTCTTTAAGATAGAAAGAGAAGAAGGTATACCCTATTCAGCGCCTGCTGAGCTTCGTTGAAGAGAATCGACTCGTCTACCTCATTCATCTTCACTTGGTCCTCTTCAGTTACCAAGGAACGGAGATAGCTAGCCACTCCGACTGGCCCGGATAGAATGCTAGTATCCGTTAGTACTGTGAACATGACCGTCTTCTTCTAGCCAGGGTCCACACTCGGGGCGGGAAACTGCTTCTCGAGCTTTGAGCTCAAAGTCGCTCACCTGACCCCGGTTGTACGACCCTTTTCAGGATCTCCAGGTGGCCAAATCCAGAGTAATCCTCTATCATGCAGACATCCACACCCTCGAAAAAACAAGTTGAGAGCTTCATCCAAGGCCTGAGACGTGTAAGTGAGTTTTTCTTCAGCAGCTCGAGCCTCATTTAAAGTGGCCTCCAGCTGGGGCGGTGATTCTTGAATATGGATGACGATGTCGTCCTCAAGAATAGTTATTCTCGGTATCGTAGGGGCTTCTTGAGAAGCAGTGGCCACATGTTCCTCCACGGGATCCCGAGCTGAGGAGGATTCAGCCTTACGATTGCCCCCCTCCGGGGCTACCAACTCTTGTGCGGCGTTGGTCGGTTCGTGAACGGCGAATTCCATGTCATCGTCATCCTTGGGGAATTCCTTGAGCCGGTAAAGAGCTTCGAAATCCGGGACCCAGGCACTGGAAGCTTTCTTGGTGCTATTTCTGACCCTAACCACGATCATTTTCTTCTTCTTAGCCTCAGTAGAAGCATCCGAGGAGTCAGGAGACCTTTTCTTCTTCTGCGTTTTATCCTCCTTCTTCGCAGCAGCTTCGGCAGCAGGTTGTAGTGAAGCGAATGGTTTTTCAGACGGGGTCGAGGCCACGACCTCGGTGATTGCCTGAAGTTTGGTGGTCTTGGGCAAGCGTGAGGAAAAAGACTTAGTCATAACAATGACAAGATAAAAATGACCCAAAGAAAAATTCAACCAAAAAAGAAGGGCACTTACCATGAGAACGAGCCTCCCACTTGCCTTTGGAAAGCTTGCGCCACTCACACTCAGGATAGGTGAGTTGTTTGCATATGCTCTTGACCCACTCCCTAAAATGAGGGACCGCATTGGGGACTCGAACGGCAGATGCATGTCAAATAAAACAAATAATGAGAGAGAAGAGTCGATTCAAAAAAGTACTTTGACAACTTAAGAGGAAGTAAACTTACGTTTTGAGTTCCACTTCTCGGGGAATGGTAGGAACTCAGAAGGAATGAGATCCTCGATCTTTATCCGAACAAACCTTCCCTGCCAGCCTCGGTCCCTGTTTTTGTCTATGCAGGAGAAGGGAGCTTTCTTTTCCCGACGGGCAAGCTTGATTAACCCTTATCCCCCCTGGAAGATATGGGGGTTGTAGACTCAAAGCATATGGTCAATTGTGAACCGAGGCTCCTCCGTGTTGTTAGTGAAATGGCGGAGGAGGGTCACAATCTTCCAAAAAGACGGGTGAATCTGCCCGAGGCAGATTTCGTACTTCTTACAGAACTCGAGAATCACTGTATCTACAGGACCAAACATAAAGGGATACATATAAATGCTTAAGTATCCTTCCACATGCGTCGTGATATCTTCATCAGGACTGGGAACAACTATGTCTTTGCCTTCCCATTTGCAGTCCTCTCGGACCACTTTGAGCATTTCCTCGATGATAGGGCAAACATAGCTCCACGCTTCGTAGTCTCGGTCTCCCTGTGTGGAGGCTTTCTGGACCTTGAAGTCGTTATCTATGGAGCAACCACTGGGAATGAACTCTGCAAGAGGAGGTCCCGGGACCGCTACCGAAAGCTTCACCTTAATGCCGGTGGCCGAGGAAGAAGTTATGGGGCAGTTAGTCAATTAGTCACTTCTCATCATTCCTATAAATCTACTCTCCAAGAAGTGGGGGGACTATCAGTGTACGGATAAAATCGGGGATAAAATTATCCCCGATTTTCCGATGAAGAAACGAGGGAAAACGTGATTCGACGCTGGCTTGGGTAAGGCCGAGGGTGTCCACAGATCGGAGCCTGGGGTGGAAGAATGATACGTCAGAAATCGAGTATGGCCAAACATGGAAAGAATCAAGCTCGAGCGAAACGAAGAATCGACGTTAAAGGGAAGACGATTAAAGAGGCGATCGAGGAGCCAAAATATCCGCCATCATCTGGATATCACAGTGCGGATCACGCCCAATATTAACTGCAGATCGTGTTTTCTTAGGAAAAAAGGAAGGAAGGGATTTTTACCTTATTTAAACTTGTATTAGAGTTAAAACTCTCCTATTATATAAATGGGAGAACCTTTTTATTTTTTTGGATCATTGTTGGCACGCATATCAAAGCAATAAAGTTTACTTTTGTCTTTTAGCAATTGTTCAAGTGTTCATCAATTGTTCATTCATTTGGTTGCAACCGAGCTCCATCCCGAGGGCTCGATTAGAACCGGCTTCTAGCATTTAAACCTAACACCATGCTTAATAATTTCATTACATTTGGTTTGATCGTTTTGCTTTCTTTTAATTCAATTACCTGTTGTTCTTTGACCATTCGTGTTAAATTAAAATCATGTATTTTTTAAACCGTGTACAAATTTAATTGTTACTCATTTTAAGGGTAAACAATTATGATAGACTCATAGACCTCCTCATTTTGTTACGTATTTAGTTTTTTTCTTTTCTACTTTTCTAAGATATAGACTCTCTGGGCATAAACTATAACCAAACGACCCCGAAAGTTATTAATTAGTTTTAGTAGTGTTTTTATTATGCTAACTTGCATTATGCAGTATGCCTCTCTACCCCTCTGGGGTAGGGGTAAGGTCTACGTACACTTTACCCTCCACACATCCTACTTGTGGGATTTTACTGGGTTGTTGTTATTGCATGCAGTATAGATATCTAGAAGATGAGTCGTTAACTTGTTATGGTGCTATAATTAATTTGAAGTGTCATTTTTTTTTTATTTGATTACAGTTTTTAATTGAGAACAAGAATTTAATCGTACCTGAGTTCAGAACTTGAATTGTTGAATTCTTGTACTTAGGGGTGTACATAGGTCGGGTTGGTTCGAATTTTTCAATTATCAAATCAAACCAACAAAGTCGGATTTTTCAATCTCGGTTTTTCTCGGGTTTTTTCGGGTTTTCGAATTTTATCCGATAAAGTCTTCATAGCATAAAATATGTAACTTGTGCTCCAAATATTTCTTAAATCCTAGTAAAATATAACTATATGATGTATTTTTCAAGAAACTAACACAATAATATGAAATAAGTCATAACATTATACTAAAATATTCAATAACAAAGATAAAATAATAAAATTACATAAAATAAATATTGCTAATCAATAAGCCATAATAAAAATTAACATAATCTAAAAATACTATATAGGTCATGCTAAAATAAGTATAGCTAATAAGTACTAATATTAATTACATAACTAAGCACTAAAGAAAAAGATAAACTAAGTTATGCATTTTCATTATAAACCAATGTAAAACTAAAATAATTATCCAACACTATCGACATTCCTAATATTGAATTTCTTTTCTTTTCTTAGCATTAGTATTGATTTGAACTTTGTTTGAGTTACTATATTTATGAGCTTTAAAATTTATTTACCATTCAAGAATGTTAAGTCTAAACTTGAAATAATACATTAAAAGATAAAATTATGAAAAAGTTTAAGAAATATTTATAAATTACATCACAATAAATATTTATATGTATAAAATATTTTTAAAAATTATATAAATATACTATCGGGTTGGTTTGATTTCGGTTTGACTTATTTTAGTTAAAACCAAACCAAACCAATTATGGTCGAATTTTATTTTTCCATACCAAACTAAATCAAACCAAACCACATAGGGTTTTTTTTTTCGATTTGACTCGGATTATCGGTTTGATGCGATTTATCGGGTTTCTTCATGCACCCCTACTTGTACTTAAACTTCGTGTTTATTTCTTTTTATGACAGGCGTTTGTTTTTTGGAATTATTTCTCCCTCAAGCTCAACCTTTCTGCATTTCTATAGCGAGTGAATCTTAAAAAAATTGCCAAAATAAATCAACAATTACTATTGTCCAAGTACAATTGAATTGGATTTCACAAATTCCTTTCAATTATAGTTTAATAGTAAAGTATTTAAAACATCATGTTATGTAACCAAAACTCCAATAATTTATCCTTGATTTTGTCTGTTGACAAATTAGAACGTGAACGAATATGGAAAATTATAAAAAGTGAAATTTGTCAGACATTTTATCTTGATCAAGAGGTGATCAGGTTGGATGAAAATGATATAACTAGGGCTAAATGGGTCGTATATCTGAACTGTCAACAGCTGGTTTTAGCAAATACTAGCCACTGCATTTTTTTAAAAAAAATTGCATCATGTGCTAATTCATTTTTCTTCTTTCACACCTTAATTGGTGGGTCAAATAGATTAAGGCAGATGTGACCCTTGTAGTTTAATACTAATTTCTTTCTTGTTTACTTTTTGCTAAAAGATTATTGTCTACCTAAAAATTTGTTGTTTTTTGGTATACGTATGGAGCATCATCTTCAAACTAATAAGATGACCATTGACCACGCAAAAAATAGCCAAGTTCAACACTAATAAGGAATGAGTTTAAACTTAGGAAAATAATTAATAGGGTGAGCACTTACAAATTACACTACAGAACTGATAACAGAGAGCTCAAGATCATAGTATTATTCTTTAGGCAAAAAACGTGAACAACAGTTCATTTAAAATAGTGAAGAATGCCCCCATTAGGCAGCATATTCCCCAGTTGGATTAGGTCAACTTCAACATCTTACAATCATCACTTTCTATTCACATTATAACGAAAACGACATGTTACTTGCAAGCTAAAGTTGCCCTAAAACTAATAAACAATCCAACAAAGCATTCTTCTTGCTTTTAATAGAATGATCCAAATTCCTATCTTTTGAAGAAAAATAGTAGAAAGCAAGCCAAAGATCAAAATGGTTGCAGTATTCAACAAAGATCTTTTGAGTTGGTACCTCATTACCCTTAAGCTCAAAGAAACAGTTGATGCTGGACTTCAAAATGCTCCTACTCCTACCACCAGCAGATCCATTGAATTTCCAGAACTGCCCCTGTTGCATAAAGAACAACATCAGCCATCTGATTCTTTGAAAGTTACTATTGAGGAAAATGCACCTATTTTAGAAGAGGATCCTAAATCACCGGAATCCGAATGGGTAATTAGCATTAAGGAGAAATTAGAGCAAGCTAAGCAGGATAATGATGCTGGATCATGGGCTAAACTTTCCATTTACAGAGTCCCCTTAAGCTTGCGCAAAGATGATGATAAAGCTTATATTCCTCAAATTGTTTCTCTTGGTCCTTATCACCACGGCAAAAGACGCCTACGCAATATGGATCGCCATAAATGGCGAGCCGTTTACCACATCCTCAAGCGGACAAATCAAGAAATTAAACTGCATTTTGATGCAGTAAGAGAGCTTGAAGAGAAAGCACGCGCTTGTTATGAAGGGAATATTACAATGAGCAGCAATGAGTTTGTTGAAATGATGGTTCTTGACACTTGTTTTGTTCTTGAGCTATTTCGTGGAGTTGCTGGTGGATTCAAGCATCTTGGTTATGCGAGGAATGATCCGATTTTCGCGATGCGCGGATCGATGCATTCTATACAGAGAGATATGATCATGATTGAGAATCAAATTCCATTATTTATTCTTGATCGGTTGTATGGGATTCAATCTGAAATGCCTGATGAGAAAGGTGTTGTAGCAAGGTTAGCTTTAAGGTTCTTTGATCCATTGATGCCAACTGATGAGCCATTGACACAGAGTGACTTGAACAAATTCAAGTCTTCTATGGGACGTTCTGCTTCTTTTGATCCATTGGGAGACCTTGGTGGACTTCATTGCCTTGATGTTTTCAGGTAAAAGTTACAAATGTGCGGGTTGGATCAAAATAGGTTCAGTCAATAAACTGATCATGAGTTTGTTCTGGTCATAATCCAATTTCTGCTGACCTCTCCTCTTTTTTTAAAAATAAAATTGTTTGTGAAAAAAATAATAAAAACAAATGTAATTTTTTTCCAGTTAAGTTCTTCAAAAATTACATATTTTTCAAGCTCCACATTTGATTTTGTATGTTTTAGATTGGATTACATTTTGACCCGGTAGGTTATTTTGGGTGCAATTGAGTTAAGTCAACGCAAGAGTCATAACCCAACTCATTCAAACTTGAACGGGTTAATCGGTTGCTAAAAATGAGTTGATTTTGATACCTCTATTTTCAGGAGGAGCCTTTTGCAGACAGGGCCTAAGCCAACACCTAGGACGTGGATCAAGCGTTGGTCACATTCGAATCGGGTTGCAGACAAACGCAGGCAGCAGTTGATTCATTGTGTTTCGGAGCTAAAAGACGCTGGGGTTAAGTTCAAGAAAAGGAAGACTGATCGGTTCTGGGACGTTAAATTTCAGAATGGAATCCTCAAAATGCCTCGGCTTTTAATCCATGATGGTACAAAGTCACTTTTCCTCAACCTGATTGCTTTTGAGCAGTGCCATCTTGACTGCACAAATGACATAACTTCGTACGTAATCTTCTTGGACAACTTGATCGATTCGCCAGAGGATGTTAGTTACCTCCATTATTGTGGAATAATTGAGCATTGGCTTGGTAATGACGCGGAAGTTGCTGACCTCTTCAATCGACTTTGTCAAGAGGTCGTTTTCGACATCAATGACAGTTACCTTTCACAGTTATCTGACCAAATTAACAGGTACTATGACCATAGGTGGAATGCTTGGCGTGCTACTTTAAGCCACAAGTATTTCAACAACCCATGGGCAATTATCTCCTTCATTGCTGCTGTTATTTTGATACTGTTCACCTTCGCACAAACGTTTTATGGAGTCTATGGCTACTACAGACCACCTCAATAGTTCTCAATAAATTCTTCAGACAGATTTTTACTATTAATACACAATAGCTAATATACATTGTATATGCCAAGACGCAGGGCCACAACCGCCTTGCTCCACCGGCATTTGGATTATTATTCCCTTCTTTGGTTCTTAAACACTTGACTGGTCAATGGAAAACCAGAAAAGTTCTTTTTGTTTTTTCTCTCCTTTTTTTTTGGGGGGTGTGCCACGGTCTTTGGCAGACCGTGCTCTAAACACAAATTGGTGTGCACTTGTAATTGTGAAGATTCAAATGGTTTCTGCCATACTTAAACTTTTTAGAAACTTACATCTGGAACATTGTCGATCTCACTGATTCACTGTTTACTAACTACAGTTAAATATTTATTTGCTTTAAAGAGAAGCTTCTGGCACAGCAGAAGCCTGCAGACAACTAACAAAAGCATTGGCAGGCTTCTCTGCAGAGTTAGGTGGAAAATTGAGCGAAGGTACTATATGACATTGGTTTGCAGAAAGCTACACACATGGAAAATTAAGATTTCAATACAATATGAACAACGCCCAGAGGCAAAGCAACGATCATCGCCTCGATGCTAATTCCCCTAACAGTTTCTTCCACTTCCATTAATATCCTAGAAAATCTTTGGCTATTGAAGCAGAAAAGAAAGATAACTGGCAGCTGCATGATGTATTCCATAGAATAAGCAGCTGCTGAGGACCTGTATGTTCCAGTCTAAGGGAGAAGATCTTCACTTTCTGATGAAATTGCTTTCTTGCCATCATACCGCTGAAAGGGTGGAGGGAATAGGGATGAAAACACAATTCTCAATCACAAAGGATAATTATGAAAACAAAGGCGAAAGCAAGAGAAATTTAGTTAGATAAGAAAGGTTTAACCTGCTTCCCAAAAGAGAACGGCACATATTTATATATTATCATGTGTCGTATTTGTCTTCTCATTGTGAGTGTGAACAGCACAATCCAATAGAAAAGGAGAATTGGCCAAAAGACAGGCACATCAAATGCACTGAAGAATGTTAACACGAAGGCAATGCAGAAAGCCTTGGTAATTGAGTACCTTCACACAGGAAAACAGAAAAATCAATGCCCACAAAATCATTGAAAAATTAGACATGCTTTATGTGCTGCTTATACAGGTTATGGCATATAAAATTTATTTTGACATGGATGACAAAGGACAGGCCTAACGGATTATTACAATTTTCAAGTTAGCATAGATCAGCGGCCGGGGAAATGAACAAAAATGTCGAACAAGGGGCTGTATCTATTGATTTCTGCAGCAAGTAAACACGAAAATACCCATTGAGACAGAGAGACACGCTATTTGACTATTTCTGTACAATCTCCCTCTTTGATGGACGATGGACCATAAAAACTACAAAAGTCAGCGAAAGGTTCAGGTCAACAGTACGCACCTGTTGCAAGCACGACAATATAAATAACAATCATTCAACAACTCCACAAATTTGGGTGTGAAGCAGTAAAAATGCTATCCTTTTTAGCCCCTAGACAAGAATGCTAAAAATGTCACATAGCTATCAAGGGGCATCTAGCTGCATACATATCCATTTCTTGTTTTCAATAATATATAATACTTGAGCACCAGCACGTTTTGGTCCTATAATTTATGAAGCCTTTTAACTCCCTAGTTTCATTTGAACCCTATCAGACTATCACCCCTCAACCAGCAGAGTATGTAGCTCACTATGAAATGAGGTAAACATATATTGCACTTAGAAAGTAAGCCATACTTCTGGAATTTCAATCAAATTGCTCCTTTGGTTAGTAGAAATTCAACCTGCTGTGGGAGGAAGCATGTCCTAGCACTAACAGACTTTCGGACGGTGCCACAAGAGGACGGACAAACATTGACTGAAGAATTGAAAAGAACGTCAGCTTGCATCAAGCATGCCAGGTCTATCCCTTACTATGTAAACTCCCATATGTACAGAATGTTCCAAATAACCATGGCCAGCCACAAGAAATATGTGAAATGCTAGTAAATGCTTGCAAATTTATCTGGTTTATACATGATAGAGAGACGAGACCATGGTTCCCAAATATATACACCATCACTGACTATATAAATATCAAAGCAATGGACGGTTGCTCCATTTTTCTGTTAGGAGCTTTCAGTTTTACGATAATCCTGCACTACACATGCAGATTTATTATTTCATGCATGCATAAAGTGTAACATAGCTTTATTTTGTTGTGTGTGTCGAGAGACAGAAGGGGAGAGGGAAGGGGGTTCTAATTTGATTCCAATTATCACTTAGACAAAAATAAAATAAAATTATCACTTAAAGACACCTATGAACATGTTGAAGTGAGAGATAGTGAGGATTACTTTTGTTAGCTCCAACATCAATAGTCTTGACTGTTGATAAAGAATCTCAAAATAAGGTTTTAACTATTTTCATGACCTGAGACAAAAACTATCACATCATGTCTCGCAATTTCTTACAATCTGTTATTCACAACCATACTAATCTTGCTGCTCTATATCTAGCTCAAGAGACATAACCATCTACAGTTTGGAAAGAACAATTTTTGCAACTGAAACTTACTATAGAGGAGCATTTCCTACTTAAAAGGTCCACATCGTAACAGTACCGCACCACCAAGTATCCACCCCAGGTATTAAGTTACACTGACGGCGACAAAGATACACTAGTCCATAATATAATCATATCACAATGCTCACTTCGACATCACCAGATATATAACTTAAACGTATAAGAAAAGATGATGAAATTATAAAACTGAAAGGTAAGTCATGGGAAATCGGCAATATCACATGCAACATCAAATCTTTCACTAACAAACACGCAAACACCAGCCCGCCACATTCAACACTGGATTCTACATCAATGAAGAGTATGGATCAAGATCAGTTCTTTTTGGGGTAAGATTATAATGCAATTAGTAGTTATTTATAGAATTTACACTGACAACTTTTAATGCAGTAATCAAAGCCTGTAGTTGCTTAAACATCACATGTTAACCCTAAAAAATCTCAAACCCTCACTAATCTAGCTAAGCGATTGCAGGTTTGAGTTAAGTGCAATGCCAAAAAACAATGGGAAACTGTATCACTTGCCCCTGGATAGCTAAAGAATAAATAATTAGGATTTTTAACTCAAACTTAAAAATAATGAGGATGCAATTAAGAGAAAGATCAATAGATTGTCTACGATTATCATTATCATCTAGTAGTAGTTTTTATTTACTTATTAATTATAATCTACTTAAATAGGAGTTCCAAATCCTAATTAACTACTTTCAATTTCCCCATCCCTCTGCCAAAAATGGTATATTTTTGCAAAAACAAACAGAAGATAACAAAGTGCATAAACATAACTCAAGTGTTAATCTCTGATCACCTACATAAAACTTAAAAATTAAGTTAACAAAAGTTGCGAAAGATATGAGGGATAGGAATTGACAGAAAACACACCAGAACTTAAACTCAGGGAGGCGACGAACAAAAGGGCGGAATTCGTCAGTTTCTCGGGTTGGCAAAGTCGGGCCATCGGATAAATCCTGGACCTCCGGGTCAACCTGCGGCGAAAGGAAGCCGACGAGGAGGTTAAGGATGTAGATGCCGAGGGCGTAGGAGACAACGTAGAATCCTTCCAACAGGTACACGCGCACTACATACAAGACAGCGATAAAGACGAACACGATCCAACGGTAGAGTACATGCGGCGTCGTTTTATCCAGGAAGTGCTGGAACGACTGGGAAGCAGATGCTGTCAATTGTGTAAAACCAGTGGATGGAGTAGACGAGGAAGCATCGCCGGCGATGGAGCCGGCGCCGTTGATGTCCATGACGTGAGTGTGTTTTTCTCTTAGATCGCTTTACTCTTTAGTTACTTATGCCGTCACGCGCGGTGTGTTCCTATCTGAGAAAGTAGAGTAAAATTTGGAAGAATGCTATGCCCGCACGCTTCTTGCGTTCTCTCTGTGAAACTCCAAAGCAGTGACGGACGTCAAGTAGTGCAAAATTTTAAGATTATTTGTGTACGCCTGTGCTGCTCTTTCAATTTGGAAAACTTCGAAAACCCACGCACAAAACTACTTCTGTTTACCAATTGTTTCTTCCCTTGAAATGATTTGGTTAACTAACAAATTGATATAAAGGAAAATTAGTTAGGTTAGGACTTAGTTACATCGAAGTGATGCAAGGTTACCAAAATGCTAATCTTACTTCTCTTTTAAATTAACATTATCTATTTTCCTTAATTGAAATGCTTGTCTTGTTTTAGATTTCACATATGTTTCAACAGCCCCATTTCTAGTCTGATGCATACTTTAGCAATCCTGGACAACGAAAAAGCTCAAAACATCCTTAATATCATGCATGATGCTAGAAATGATCTAGAATTTACTATTAATTAATTTTTTTATCCTATTAATTGTTAAAAAAAATAATCTATTGATAGTTAAATCTGTTTACCTTCAAAAATGAGTAACAATTAAATTTGTACGCGGTTTAAAGGATACGTGATTTAATTCAATACGAATGATCTAATAACAACAAGTAATTAAATTAAAGAAAAAATGAACGATCAAACCAATCATCATGTGGTGATCAAGCCTGATCTCAAGTTGAACACTGAAATTCTTCCTTCGATCGGACCCTCGATATAAGCTCGGTTGCGATTAAAGAAGAGAATAACTGAAGAATACTTTGGATAATAGCTAGAAAATAAAAATAAACATTTATTATTTTGATTTGCGTGTCAACAACATGTCAAAATAAAAGAAACTCTCCCCTTTATATAGTAGGGAAATTTTAGTCCTAATACAAGTCTAAATAAGATAAAAATCTTCTTTTCCGGTAAATGCCGATCTGCAGTTGATATCGGACGGGATTCGTGCCGTAATATCCGGTTTAGGGCGAATATTACGGCTCCCTACTTGTCATGCCTAACCGTTTCTCCTTTTCCCGTGGTCTCGAAACTATACTTGGTCTGGGTCCGTTATTTTGTCGTACCCGATCCCAGATACATCGTTCACTCCTCCTCGGTTCCGATATGAGGGGTCATTCGGCCTTGCTTGTAGTTACGTCGAACCGTGCTTTCCTCTTGTTTCCTTATCGGGGAGTCGGGAAAAATTTTGCCCCCGATTTTACTCATACACAGTTAATCCCCTCGCTTTTCGGAGAGCAGATTTATCGAAGCGAGGGAAGCGATTAATTGACCCCGGTTCCTTCTCCCGTACGTTATAACCGAGTTGACGGGTCAGTGAAACGTCCCATCAGTCGCGTCGTTCTGACTTCGGACACGTGTCAGCCGACGGTTGACCTTTCTCGAATGTGAAACGTCACGCATTGATTTCCCCCTCTATAAAAGCTTCGATCATTTTTTCACTTTTTTACTTTCCAATGTCAAAACTTCTTAATTTACCCTCGAAATTTTCACTTGTTCCTAACCCCTTCAAATCTTCATACATTGTTCTATATACCTTCATATCTTCATCTTTCTATTTTCAAATCTTCATTCTCCATCTTCAAACCTTCAAGTTTGACCTTCAAACCTTCATCATCATCTTCAAAATCTTCAGCATCACCTTTAAATCTTCATATTTCCCAGAATTCGATGGCGAAGACTTCGAAATATGTGCCTTAACATACCGTCCCTTCAACTTCTAACCTGGCCACGAATGTTGAGGTGGTCATACCTGAAGTGGCCCTGGAACCTCCCCTGAAGAACTTCATCCACGAAGGCTGATCTATTGAAAATGAATTCAAGGTCGAGAAAGCCTCCAGTCAACAAAATCGAAGCGAGGAGGTATGGAGGTACATATGCTCCATCACCGAGGACACGCTCCCTACGGTTCGAAAGGACTATAAATAGGAGGGCAAAGAAGTGGTTGTCCCTGGTCCTAACGAGGACATCACCACACACGTGGAGGGGTATCTAAGTGTTTACACATACCCCTGCACACTTGCCCCCGTGGACCCCAAAGTCCTCGACATTTGCAGAAGGTACGAGGTCTACCTCGGGCAGTTCCCATGGTGAGTGCTCTTCCTAACCAAACTTACTTACATACTCAACTGTCGTCTTCACTAAATCCCTCTCTTTCTTTCGTAGGTTTGCTCAAGACCACTAAGCTTCGGGCGCTGGATGAGGACGAGGATTCATCCTCACCCAATAAACCATCTGCTTCGGGAAAGCCTGAGGATGCTGGGAAGAAAGAGGAAAAGAAAAGAAGAAAGAGAAAGTCTTCAGGTTACCCGAACGTCGAAGCCAAGAAGAAAAGGGTAGTGGTCGGGGCTCGAAAGAGCAATAAGAAGAGCATCCAAGCCAGGGTACCGGACTCTGACTCCCTCTACTGGCTCAGGGATTACCCTGAAGATGACGAACTAGAGTTCGTCGCCCATGGGCCGGACATTGATGAAGAAGAGCAGGCAACAACTGGGGGAAGCGACCGAGAGGCCGACCCCTCTTTATCTCGAGAGCCAGAAGGAAAATCAGAGGCTACGGTCCCCCAAGAAACTACCCCTGCTCCGAGGGAAGGTTACGGTGTCATTGGCATCACGGAATTGTCATCACATATAGAGTCCTTATTTGATGAGGCTCAGGCCGTCAAGCAAAAGCCAAACGAGACGACACGGGCCGCAGACGAGGCCCTCAACCTATTTTTTGATGGTATGGACATCGGCGCGTTGGAGGATTACTCCGGGTTCGGTCACCTAGAGATCCCAAAAAAAGTCATGTCGTTGGACGCAAGCAAGCCGAGTTTGAGCCTAAAGCTGGTGAAGCAGTTCCCTGCTCCGAGCATGGATCCCGACCGTAAAAGAACCGTCGTGTTTATGATCCCGGCGGATAATCGGGTGTTGTCCAAACTGGTTGGTGTGGCCAATTATCTTTGTTGCCTAGTGACCGAAGAGGATCAGATGAAGAAGAACGAGGTGAGCACACCGAGCCTCTCTAATGAGGCACAACAGGCACTGAACCGGGTAAGTTTCCCTTTCCTTGTGCCCTTCATGCAACTCTTTAACTTTAGTGTATATTTACGATCTTATTGATTTGTATTTTAGGCTTCGGTGCTCTATCATGAAAGCTTCCATCAGTCTCAGATGGAAGTCAGCCAGCTCGAGTTCGAGCTCAAGGAGAAAATATGGCAGAAGTACATGTACAAGGTCCTCAGCAAATAAAAAGACGAGGGCCTCAATGATACCCTCATTCTTCAAGTTGAGCTAGAAAAAGCTCAAAGGGAGGCTTCATCCATGAAACGGGAGCATGCCGAACTGGTCAAGAAGGTAATGATATTTGCGATTAAGAAAGAGAGGTTAAGCGTAGTAGCTAACGATGCAACCTCGCAGGTTCTAGAGAAGATAGACTTGATTGACCAGCTCCGGGCCGAGATGAACGAGCTCAAAGCTTCGGCCGAGACACTAAAGAACAGGATGGACCTTTTGGACTCAAAAAAGGAGGCCACCAAAGAGGAGTTGGCATCGGTCAAGGACCAACTCCGGCTGACGAAGGATAAGACCGACAAGTGGTCTCGGCTAAATGATAAGCTCTGAGCACAACTGGATTCAGCTCGTAACGGGATGATCTTGGTCGAGAGTATACTGCGCTGAAGTCCAAGTTAGAGGCATCCTCGATCGATTCCTCCGAGGTCAAGGAGATGCTGGCCCAATACAAAACCGACGTGGAAATAGCCGAGGCGCGCTGTGGCTATCCCAGAGGGAGACCCTCGAGGAGATTCATGTCCGGGGGTTCGATCTATCGGCCGAGATTGAAGAGGCCAAGAGGCTTGGGGCGAGGCAAGAGAGCTATATGAGCCTGAGTGTTCTGGTGCTGAGTCAGGCTCCGGTGAAGATTAGGCGAAGATGACTTAGCTTATTTTTCATTTTCTTTTGTACATTTCTTTCGTTCATTTTTGGGGTCGTTTTACCATGCCTTTGTAAATATTTTTGGAATATATAAAATTTTCCTTTCGGTTATACTTTATCTTTTATTTTTCAGTATCTATTTGCATCCTTTTATTTGAAGATCGTCATTAATGCCTTAGCATAAAATTGGACACAATCTAGAGTACTCGTTCCCCCGAAGCCCTAAAGGGGCCTGATTTTTATAATAACTCTGAGTTGATTAGGCTTCGAAATACTTGATAAAAATGAATCCTTTTAAGATACTTGAATGTTTTAGACACGACGGTGTTTTGCCGAGGGCAACCTTTTAATAGGTTTTAATCATATGTAAGGACCTTACTTTCTGGGTACAGACTTAGACGTCTCCGAGGTATTTTAAGTTGGTCGTAGCCTTTCATGTATGGGCCCTGCCTAATAGGCTCGGTGCCTCCATGATTCAATAGCCCGAGTTGTCCAATCTTTTTATCGGACAACAATCCCCAACTTAGGGTGGCCCATAGGCTCTAGGATTAAGGATCCGTTATTTGTTCTAAATGACTCAACGAATGTATTGATGGTGCAAATACGTAGTGATAAAACATAGAGGGCAAATTTCTTTCATTGATTTGCATGTAGAGTACATAATCGGAGACGCATAAGCTTTTTGCTATGGCAAGAATAAGCTACATGGGTACAGTTCATTTGACCCTTACAATGAATCCTAATCATCAAGCCTTGGCTTTTAATATCAAATAATAACACCTTCTGAGGATCCTAACTTAGGGGGTAATGGCCCACAGTATTTGAGACCGAACTTCTGAGGGATCGAATATTGTTGGTACGGTATAAGTGATCAGCAACTTCGGCTTTAGGACGGCCTTCAAAACTAAGGTAGCATGTTTTACTGTTGCATCGTTAAAAACCTTGCTGTAAACCCACTTCGGAAAAAATCAGTTCAAGGAAAAAAGAGTACAACACTTGCTTTCAAACCTGTTTGTCAAATTTGCCCTCGGCTAAGTACCTACATAAGTTAGTCCATAGCATAACAAATTTCAAAGGGATTTGTGTTTGTACCTTAGCAGTAGTTACGCGTTAAGTGAGCCATGTTCCAGTTGTTAGGTAGTTATACACCGTTTCCAGACTCGAGTTTATACGAACCTTTCCCGGTTATTCCGGCAACTCTATACGGACCTTCCCAGTTCGGGACTAGTTTCCCATCATTTGGGTTCTTGGTGTGTAGCGTTACTTTCCTTAACACCAAG